ATAAAATGATTGAGACGCGCTTCGAAGTTTAACAAACAATTTACAAAGACGTGCTAGTTTGTGTTTAGAAGGAAACGGCATTTTGAACAAATAGTGCGATATCGCTAAAAAGGTAATTTTGTTTGTAAACAACAATAATGTAGTATAATGTTGTAAATATCAATAAGTGTAGTTTCTAAATAAGTTTATTTCGATCTTCGACACGCGACAACATTGTTAACGAAAGAGTGGCAATGAGAAGTTCTGCTTTTTTAATTTCTTTTATCGACCAAGTATTTTATTATACCAGTATATGCTGATCTTGAATTAGTAGGTAGTAACTAGTACTGGGAGTTCTACTTACACTGAACTTTTAAGGTCATTACCATTATACGCGAACGCTATATGGATGAATTGTTTTTATGTATTTTTGGATATTCGGAAATTTTGCTTATCTGGTTATATTTTGTTTTATTTTACAGATACTTTCGAGGATAGCTTCTATTCTACTTACATAATATTATTTTAATATTATTATAGTATTATATACTATAATAATATTAAAATACATAATATTATTTTCCATACGGTGAAAATAGTCACCCAGTATATAGTTCTAAATATTCAACACCTGACATTGTATCCCTAAATGAAACGGTGCTTACATCAGAGTCGTCGCCTCTGTCGTTACTACTGTTATCAACTTGTATAATGATTTTATTTAATAATGATTTTCATTTCTTATCTCTCATGGAAATTGTACATCTTGTTTTAGCACTCAGTAATTTATGTAATGTTGAGTGAAAATTTCTGTTTACGAAGTACGTAATACTCATTATTTTTATGAAATTATGCACATTTTTTAAAATCGTCAATATCTTTTTAAGATGGCCAAGTCTGGACTTTTGCCTTTATTTCGTTTCCGCTATAACCTTTGATTTATCTATCCTTTCTTTTGTTACCTTGGTTATGACTACAATGTTTTATATTTAAATAATATTGTATATTTAATATAAAAAGACATTAATATTAAATATACAATATTATTTAAATATAAAAAGTGTAAATATCAAAATATTTTAGTTGAACTACAAATCCAGTCAGTCATATGATGTAGCCAGTATCCGATTTCAAAAAGTTACAGTAAACTAAACTAAACAGTAAACTAAAAGTGCCATGTCAACACATTTAATCCACAGACCGATATAAATTATCCGTATTTTGTTTCAAAATTCCTTAACAATGTGTTGATGATATGATTGTATATTTTACGTGGTAGAGCCATGCTGCAGTTATATTAGTAGTATAGTTGTAGCACGAATAGGTCGGCTCGACCGGGGAGGGACCACGCACTCACAGAATACCAGCGTCAAATAGTAGCTTAATGCTGCTGTGTTTCGTATGGTGAGTGTAGAGAACCGGAGACCCTTTTTAATGGAAACGAGGCATTCCACCTAAGTCCTCACGGATGACAACTCATCTGCATTTTGATTCGTAATCGAGGATAGATGTAGATGTCTATGGGACACAGCAACCACTTACCATCAGGTGGACTGTGTGCTCGTTAGTCATCTTATCCTATAAAAAAATGCATCACATTAAGTTTTTAGAATATTTTTGGAATTATATGTGGATATTATTAAAGGAAAACATAATAAGATCATGAGTAAAAAATTATAACATTCCTTTGCCCTAAAACCCTCTCAGAAATAAGATGAAATCGATACTTCTATTTTACTTTAGTTTTAGCTTATATTGAAACCATTAGCGTCGACAGTTTAAGTGAAGTGCATTTTCGAAGGAAGGCTAAATTTGTCTCTAAAAATCTTGGTGTTCTCAATGGAGCGAAACTGTATTTCATTCCGGCCCACCTCTTGCCACTTTATAAGACGCAGGTTCAGCTTCACATGAAACCCTGTTCAAATCTTAGGGCTGGAGCACTCCAGCTCCTCTCACTTTGCCGCATATAATGGAGAGTTATTTCCGATCTGATTTTCGAAACTAACTACAAAATACTACATTTTTAATCGCATATTTAACCACGGGTACCGGATTAATTCCAACCACTAAATCATTATCGATCATCTTACACTGCAACAAAAGTCCAAGTTCTGTCCATACTATCTCGATGATTAGCAATTCGCTACTGTGTGTTTTGATATTACACACATTAGAGTATAAGAAATGAGCTTACTCCTAGGCTCCTTTATTGTGGTACGAATAAGTCGCCCTGACTGGAGAGAACACGCTTTTAATACAGATTACCACCATGAAGTAGCAACTTAATGATGCTGTGTTTCGTGTGATGAGTGTAGATAATCAGAAACCATTTTACTGAAAAAGCGACATGTAATTTTGGTCCTCAAGGGTGATAGCGCATCTGCATTTTGATTCTTAATCGAGGATAGATGTAGACGTCTATAGTTCGCAGCACTCACTATCCGATAAACTGTGTGCTCGTCGAGCGTCGTGTCACCTTTACTCTACAAAAAGGCCTGAGCCGACAACTCATTTGCAATTCTCAAGGTGTTGTAGGTGTTCGTTTGTAAAGTTATCTCACTCCCCGGAATAAGTACATCCAATCTCGAAGATGTCAGCGCGGATGGGCTTCTGAACTTTTCAATTTTGTTTACTTTTTTATGAGATAACAATAAATAATGAATACCAAAAAATATGTTCTCAACATGAAAATAATAAAACTTTTCATTTAATATGTCGGAAAGTCCAACACGATAAGCCAATTGTGTGGGAAACAGGATAGCGTTAATTATTAAAAATGGTAAAAGTGTGAGAACTGATGTTCAACTTGCTCTCTTGCTTGCACAATTTATCATTATCAATAATAGGACAGCGTAACGCACTATACATTCAGCATAGAGTAATTACAGTTTGACCATACCGCAGTATGTCCCCATCACAATTACACACCAGTGCAATGTGAAGGACACAACTACATGATAACACCAAATTATGCAAATCAACAACAACCTTACCCATCTCAACGTAACAAAGCACAGCCTCTCAGCAACACCATCCTCCTTGTCTGCACCAGAAGAATCACCACCATGGACAGAACAACGACTATCTTAGCACGCGTAGAATGACTTCACTCGTGAAACGACTCAAGCGGAATCTCTTGCGCTCTGCACCTACACTGAACTTTAAACTGCAAAAACGAGTGGGAGGGTTTCTCCATATACCCTCAATTACTACAAGTGACGAGATTCAACCGGCATTTTATAGATACAAATATAAATTTGACACGGTTTTATTATGGAATTTCTGCAAGGTACATATTTAAATAGCGATTCACTGGTCAAGTTTATGTTTTTTAGCGGCTCAGAACTAATTATTTTTAAATTTTAATTACATTTTAGTAGATTTACATGATTTAAAAACGTTAAAAATTACTACATAGGCTGTACCTGCATGCGCATTAAACAAAGTAACAGCAAAGATCGCAAAGTAGAATTAAATATCTTTATAGTAAATGAAGTTCAAAACTTGGAAACAAACATATCTAAGAAAATACATTAATAGGAAAATAACACGTTACTTCTGTTATTTAACAATTTTAGTTATATTTTCAATTGGGTGCGGATGTAAGGAACAAAATCAGTTAAATACTTGTTCTAACAACAAATTGTATGATGTCACAGATTTTTCAAAAGAACCATGTCCAGTCTTGACCTAAAAATTTTGTAACGCGTCTAGTGATGTAAAATATCTTATAAAATTGCATATTTTTTGCTTATTTCGTATCGCATAATTTAATTTTCAAATAAAACCAGGAATTAAAGTAATGTTACTATGTTTATCATTCTCAATAGACTTTTGGAGACGGAACGTGTTTTACATTGGCTCAAAGGCCTAGAAGCCATGCCAAAATATATGAAAACGTGTTTTACACGTTCCGTTTCAGACTACGAAAAACTTGTTCATGATGTGGTTATGAATGTAAACCAATTCTCTTTAAATGATTAGATACGATTTTTTATGCTTTTATACTATGGTGTGGAAAGAAAAATAAGTGTACAGACCTAATCTGATAGTTGTATAACCTCAAAAACTTAGGTATTTACCTAATATCATTTTTCCCTGGCCTCTAAATGAAAAGATGATAAGTTATTACGTAATTATAAACAATAATTGTTTTTATACAACACTAGTTGTAGGTAGACGTGACCTGTTAAAGGAATCAAGTGACAGGTCAATCAATGTATGGAAAGTGGGCATGATTCTTTGATATAATTTACGAAATATTCAATTAAAATAATTTTTGGGCATACATTATTTTTAAAAACGCTTAAAACTACATGCTAACATTCGTTTCGCATAGCGCATAGGTTTACCAAAAATTCAATGGTGATTGACTATCGGTCGCAATCACTTAACAGAGAGCCGGGGGAACTTTTAAATGAAAATCGATAAAGTGGAAACAGTGCTCACGCCCTGAAGTTACTCCAATACAATTTAATAATTGCAAATAATGAATCAAGTCGTACAAAATTTCATAAGTCTACTATGAATTGTTATTTTGTTTGTAACTCGTTATTTATTATTGTATATCTTTATTGATGTATATTTTGCCTCAATAGCTAACGACATGGTCTCTAAATAGTATAAAACTAAAGCTACAGCCTATATACGTCCCACTTCTGGGCACAGGCCTCTCCCTCATTTTTGAGAGGGTTTTTAGGGCAAGGAAGCGTCCGCCGCGCTGCCCCAATGCTTGTTGGCGAACTTCACGTCTTCGAATTTTTTTCTTATTTCTCAGACATGCAGGTTTCCTCACGATATTTTCCTTCACCGCCGAGCACGTGGTAAATCGGCACTTAAAATTGCAATTAACAATTTCATTGGTGCCGGCGGGGATCGAACTGGGTTACTCGCGTTCTGTTATATTTACAGCGAGCGTTAACCATATGAGCTACCACGGCTCCTTAAACTGTGTGTGTGGACTGTAAAATAATATATATAATAATATTTTTTTATTATTACATTTAATTTATCTATTACAGGCGTCTGGTAGAGAGGTTTAATCAATTGAGACAAAACCTCGGCCCAGGTTTAGCCCGAGCTAGACGGCAGCTATCTGAAAGTATTGTCAAGTAAGTACTTTGAGTACAAACTTATAATAATTTTACATGCTTTATACACTTATTAACATATTTTTATTTCTTCCTTACAGTACTCCACTACCGCCGGTGCCAGCATTGGATAAACGATCTCAAAGCATACAGCAAAGCGAAAATTATTATGAAGATGGACATCTCTATAATAAACCAATAGTATGTACTTAACAAGAAAGCAACAAATAATATAGTCCAGTTGTTATTATAATTTTTAATGCATATTACGGTTTATATAATTTTAGTATACACTTGAAGACTCAGAGCAGCAGAGCAGCATAATGTCGAGCAGTCTACCAGCAAACGACAACAGAGAGTGCACGGATAACAGCAGTATGGCGAAATCGGCGCCGCCATTGCCTAGCCGACCCAAGTCCGGTGACCCGAGGAGTCCCACCAGGCTAGAGGACTATCGGTAAACTTTCCATAATCTTATTTTGTAAAGAGCATCATGACGGAATATAAGAACGTTTCATATCAAAAGTAAGACGTTGTATAATACAACACCAAAATGCCATATAATATATATATATACATCACAATATTGATTCTACGTCCTTTCATTTCGCATTATTGTAGCTTCCAACACTTGTAGGCAATTTTTATACATTATGACTGCGAATATTGGTCCATTAAACAATTTCAAAGATAGTGTTTAACTCATTTCTTTGAAAATTTACCATATATCGATATACAAATATTCGTATATTGCCAGACGGAGGAAAACCAATCAGGACTCCCTTCCATATTACAAATTATCCAGAATCCCCGTAATATACATAGTTTTTAATTCGTTCTCCTGCTTAACGCAATTCCTTTGTATGGTGCGATCTTGCCACTCTTACTAGTTATTCCGCTTTGCAATATTTTATTTATAGTAGGTGATATTTTGTTTATGTAGGTATTCGATAGATTCCTATAGTCTGTTTTTTTCGCAGGAGATAACAGATCTTTATTAGATTCTTTTAGCACGAATAATACAGTTTTTATGATTCTGGTTCAGATTAGATTTAATTTTAGTCACTTAAGGTTCGTATATTGTTCAAAATAATGAAATAAATCCACAGAATGTGCAGTACGAAAAATACGCAATATCATTTTTGTCTCCGGCGAAAAAAAAACAGATAGACATCATTATTAATTTACCAACTAGTTATTCGTTTACTAAATACGAAAAAATATCTAAGATTGCCCAGCCGTGATACATTATAGATTGACTATATTATTATTTATTTTATTATTGTAAATAAGTACTAATTGTAGATATTGACAGGTTTAATAGAAGTTCATTTCCTTATATTGTCACTAATAACCTAATATGACCTTTGGAAGAAACTCATTTTAATATAAGGTTTTACTGCATTAACTTCCAATGGGTTGTTAATTTCTACAATAGACCGTGGCGTATTGTTGCTGACATGAATAACTCCGAAAATATAATTTATTTACTTGATCTTATTGAGTTTTGGTGCTCTCACTGCGAGTTTACTTTTTATGATCACATCTTAGGGATGAGTGCGAACTGTTTACCTAACCTGTACAAAATTACTCTCTCTTACTTAGATTCATTTTTGTGAAAGGCTATTTTTGTTAAATTATGATATTAAGTTTGGTTTTGCAGTTAGTTGAAATACAATTTGTTTGTGTTTGTTGTTATAAATATTGGACGCTATATTACTAAAAACATGCATATCGTGCTCTAATTGGCGTCCGTATTGTGACCTACGCACATTGAGAACTTTCCACGCTTATGCTTGCTTGCATTTAAGTTTCTTTGGTTATATTTAGTAACTTAGGTAAATAAACTTGTGTAAGTTGATTAATGTACTTGACATGGACATTGAACGGAGTATTTACCCATATACGGACGTAAGAATATCCTAAAATATTCACACTAAGTTTTATTTGACGTCCACTTCTTTGATATCCGATGTCCAAAGTTATTGTTGATAATTGCATTTTACTATTTATTTATGTTGACTATTTATTTAGTGCTCAAGGCATATTTTTGTATTTTTGTCGGTTTATACTGTACTCAGTGCTAGTAGATAATTTTACTTTCCAATTTGTTTTCGTGTCCTTAGATTTAGCTACATATAATAATTAATATGGACGTCCGAATATCCTAAAACAATCATACTGAATAATATTTGACGTCCATATTTTTGAATTTTGTTATATTTCTATATGTGGACGTCAGATTATCGGCAAAGTTTCGTACCGCACGATATTTGACGTCCTATAACCATGAATATATTTATATTTTAATTTCTTGTGTATAAGACACACATTAATGATCATTACTTTAATGGCATTTTTCGCTATTGTTTTATTTTTATTTTAGTGTAGGGAGCCCATGCGGTATGAAATAGTCACTTTGGTGTTTCATAAAATGCTCCATTCTAGAAACGATAAAACGCTTAGAAAACCTTTCTTATTTCTTTTTTGATAAATATTGCCATTTATAGCGGTTTTTGGGGCACGGTGTGCGCCAAAATTTCAACTTTAAATTACTACCTGTGTACACATAATAATATGAACGTTCGAAAATCCTAAAACATTCATACTGAATGATATTTGACGTCCATATTTTTGAATTTAGTTATATTTCTATATGTGGACGTCAGATTATCGGTAAAGTTAATACCGCATGATATTTGACGTCCATATAACCATGAATATATTTATATTTTAATTCCTTGTGTATAAGACACACATTAATGACCATTGCTTTAATAACATTTTTCGCTATTGTTTTATTCGTATTATAGTGTAGGGAGGCCATGCGGTGTAAAATAGTCACTTTGGTGTTTTATAAAATGTTTCGTTCTAGAAATTATAAAACGCTTAGAAGCTTAGAAAACGTGTGTGAAAAATTAAATTGTATTTGAACTAACTGCAAAACTAAACATAATATCATAATTAAACAAAAATTGCCTTTCACAAAAATGAATCTAGTTAAGTAGAGAGTAATTTCGTACAGATTAGGTACAATAGTGGCGCTCATCCTTACGATGCAGTGAGAGCACCAAAACTCAACACGATCAAGTAAACAAATTATATTTTCGGAGTTATGTCAGCAACAATATGCCACGGTCCATTGTACAAATTAACAACCTACTGGCAGTTAATGTAGTAAAACCTTATATTAAAATGAGTTTCTTCGCCAGACCATATTTGGTTATTAGTCACAATATAATAAAACAAACTTGTCAATATCTACAATTGAGTCCATCTTCCTGTACTCAATCAGAAAGTAACTTATACTCAAACAGAATTATGGGTTGCTTACGAAATACCTAACAAGAGTACTTTTAGGCAGATTAGTACCAAATGTAAAACGTTAAAATATAGTGCAGTATGAAATAAACCGATAAGCTGACGTGCGCATCTACATTTATAAAAATATAACTAAATTCAAAAATAAGGGTGTCAAATATCATTCAGTATGAAAGTTTTAGGATATTCGGACGTCCATATTATATGTAGAGAAATGTAAGGTTAAGAAAACAAGTTTGAAAGTAAAATTACTAGTACAAAGTGCAGTATAAACCATATAAAAATGTCCTGCAGACCGAATTACGGTCACTGCGGCCTGCCTCAATGGAGACTAGCCATCGGCGCAGGACAAGATTATAGTGCCCAAGTGTGTGCGCAACCGCAGGTGCACTCTCTATTCCCTCATTCTCATAATCCGATTGGACGGTAAACCGACACGACCGGTGAGAGATCAGGCGCAGGACCAACGGCTTTACGTGCTTTCCGAGGCACGGGGCGAATACACCGCCAACTTCCTGACTCCGGGCAGCTATTGGGAATTTTTGACAGAAAAACTCAATAATTGAATTTTTGGCCCGACCCGGGATTCAAACCCAGGACCAGCAGTCAATCACGATCAGCAGTCGCACTACTACAACCACTAGACCAACGAGGCAGTACTTACTTACTTACTTACTTATCTTCACGCACAATCCCTAACGGGGTAGCCAGAGAGAACAGATCGCCAAGTGTCACGATCCTTACATACCTCTTTCGCTTCTTTCAGGTTTATTAACTTCTTCATACATGCACGTCTAGGTATCCGAGTACTCTTGACCCTCCCCCTCTTCGAGCAATTTGCTCACATGGTCTTCGAAAGTTAGTCTCGGTCTACCTCGACACCTTTTAATATTTACTTTCGCTCTATATATTTTCTTCACCATTCGGTCTTCACTCATTCGTTCAACGTGCCCAAACCATTGGAGTACGCCCCTATCAATTTTTGTGATAAGGTCATCTTTCAATCCTGCCATATTGCGAATCTCTTCGTTTCGCTTTCGGTCGGCTGAGGTAACGCCACACATTTTACGAAGAGATCGGATCTCCACTGCATTCAACTTGCTTTTATGCTTCTTCTGGCATACCCAGTCCAGTGGCAGTCATAACCATATATCACCAAATACAAGTAACACGTTGGCAACGGTGACGGAACGGCAACGTCGCATCTCCTAATTTTGTGCAGAAGTCAAATACGGCCATAAATGAAAGTATTCACAAATCGACAGCAGCGCTATTATTTTTGCAACGAAAATTAGCGGAACTACGTAAATATTCAGTACAGCAAGATTGGAAGAAAAATGACGTCCAATTTTTTTTTAGATTTTGACATTTCTGTGATCAGCATGAAAATTTGCGAACATTGCGCTAAGTCTCCTATTTGACGTCCGTATATTGAACGTAGTAAGCAGGTTGACGCCACATTATATGCAAAATTGGCCATAGTGGGCGTACAATAAGTTACGGGATGTATATATATATATATATATATATATATATATATATATATATGTATAATATATATAAATAATGCGTATTTTGTATTCCCGATGTTTCAAGTACTTTACAGCACCCATGGTTACTGGAGTAAAAATTTTTTGAACTTATAGTATCTTGAAAACTTGTAATTGTATACTTGGATTGGGATTTAATTTTATTAATTACAAGATCCCAAGCAGATGGTGGCACCCAGCCATCTTCTGTATTTAAATTATCATCATCATATTAACTGTATTGAAATTAGGATGGGTTTTGGTTTCAAAATTTTAATAGCCTCACGAAGGACGATCCTTGAAAAGAATCGGTGTTCTTTAGCGAGGTATTTGTTAACTGCCTGACTTCCGGGAAGTCTGCAGTCTGTCATCACGTATACGATCGCACCCGTCACTAAATCAGATTTGATAGATTACAAAATGTAATTTTCTAAGAGTAATTACATACATATGTATGCATAGAGAGAACTTACAATTCTCCACAAATAAATTGAGTCAATAAACTTGTCTCGCTTTTTCCAATTTATAAACATAAACATAAACACTCACGCCTGTCACCCAGAGGGGTAGGCAGAGACTACAGACTTCCATTTGGCACGATCCTGACACACCTCTCTCGCCTCCTTCACTTCATTAAGGGTACTCCTAATTTGGCCCATTTTCAATAAATCGCCAATTTGGTTGATAAATTTTCGCCTAGGACGTCCCTTTCCGACTCTGCCATTCACTTCTGCAACATAAATTTTATTTGTCACTCTTTCCTCATTCATTCTTTCCACATGACCAAACCACCAAAGCATTCCTTTCTTAATCCTGGTCACAACATCATCTTGCAAACCACACTCTTCTCTTATTACACAATTTCTTACCCTGTCATTAAGATTCAGCCCTAACATACTCCTTAACGACCGCATTTCTACTGCGTTCATTCTACTCTCGTGCTTCTTCTGCCACACCCAACTTTCACTACCATACGTTAAAGTAGGGACCAACACAGCATTGTGAATTGCCATACGTGCCTTTTTCGACACATTTTGACTCTTCACAATAGAGTGCAGGGCCCCATTTACTATATTTTCCGCATTCACTCGTCGTTCTATATCCTTATCAAATCTCCCATCCCTAATAAATACGCAGCCCAAATATACAAACTCATCTACTTGCGATCAACTCCCCTTCTATTCTTATTTCACAAATCGTTTTACTTTCTTCTCTTTCAAAAACCATAACCTTCGTCTTACTTGCGTTCACTTTCATACCCCTTTCTTTTAATGATGTGTTCATTAATGTAACCATCATTTGCAACTCGGCCGCCGACGACGCAAGGATAACTTGATCATCGGCGTACAAAAGGCATTTGACGGTTAACTCACCCATTCTTAATCCGCATTCTTCAACTTTCAAATTTTGCAAACAATTGTCCATAAATAGGTTGAACAGCCACGGGGAAGCCACACAGCTCTGTCTGACACCTTTATGAATGTCAAACCAGTCCGAGTAGACCCCGTTGATCCTAACACAAGCACTAGAGTCCCTATATAGGGACTCCAATGCCTGTATCAAGCCAGCGCCCTACCCAAATGACTTCAGTGTTTGCCATAGCACATCACTATTCACTCTGTCATAGGCCTTTTCCAAGTCCATGAACGCACAAAAAACTTTTTGTTTTAAGGCCAAGAACTTCTCCGCGATCATGCGCATGGAAAGACTTGATCTGTACATCCCATTCCCTTTCTAAATCCCGCTTGCACATCCCAAATTTTTCCATCAGTTTCTTTCATGACCCTTTCAATCAGTACCTTAGCATACAGTTTTCCCACAATGCTAAGAAGGCTGATGCCACGGTAGTTTTTACAGTCCTGCTGCGACTCTTTTCCCTTATATACTGGGACTATCACGGCTTTGCACCAGTCTACCGGTACCCGCTTCAGTTCCCAGCATAAATTATATAAGGTGTGCAGCTGGCCTGCCACTACTTCCTCTTCAGCCCTTAGCATTTCGAGTGAAACTCTATCATATCCGGCAGCCTTACCTGCTTTCATGCTTTTCATTGCTTTCATTATTTCACCTATACTTATCTCGCTACCTCTTTCCTCTTCTTTCGGAATTTCTACTTCACTTAGTATACACGTTGTCTCCTCACTCATAAACACGCTTTCAAAATATTCCTTTCATCTCTTTAAACTCAAAACTTCTTCATTCAGAATATAGCCATTCTCGTCTCCTATAGCATTCATCATAGGCTGTTTCGAATGTCCCCTGGCAGTTCTTACAAGTTTCCAGAACATTTTAATATTTGCCTGGAAATTATCCGTTCTTTCTTGCTTTTTTCTTTCAACTACTTCTTTTAGTCTCTTATTAAGATGTCTAAAGACTGCCCTTTTTCTTTCAATATCATTCGTACCGCTAGAATTACCAGCCTTTGTTGCTAGTAAATCTAGCCATGCTCTCTTCTTTGCTTTAACTTCCATACATACCTCAGCATCCCACCATAACGTATTATTTTTCCTTTCATTCTTTCTCTTACTAACACCACATACTTCTGTAGCTGCATCCACTAAACCTTTCTTTACATTTTGCCATACATTCTCCAAGTCTAACTCCTTCATACATAATTCATCCAAACCACTTATATTTTCTTTCAGTCTACATTTGAATTTGTTTTTCTCAATCTTGTAACCTTTCTGTTCTAATACGCTGTAACGCAGTGGTAGACACAGATGATCGATGGCGCCAACGCCTGAATAGACCATTAATACGGCATAAAACCAAATAACGATCCGTTCCTACGTTAGAACCCCGGTAAACCCTTGTATCTACCACTGCGCCCCTCAATCTTTCATCCACAATTATTAAATCTATCATGCTTCTATCGTCACCTCTTTCACAAGTATACATGTGAATCCTCTTGTGGCGAAAGCAAGTGTTCGTCACAAAAAGATTCTTTTCCATACATTTGGTGAGAAGACTTTCACCATTCTCATTTATACTTTCATCACCAAACGTTCCCAATATTCTTTCATAACCAAGCCTCCTCACCCCAACCCTTCAATTAAAATCTCCTAGCATAATAATATTTTCATTTCCCTTACACTTCATTAACACCATCCTTATTATTTTCCAAAACTGCTCTCGGATATAAGTGGGCTTAGACATGTCTGGGGCGTAGATCCCTAACACAAACAACTTCTTTAAGCCCACTTTCATTCGTATCCATAGCAGTCTTGGGCTTACACATTCATACTCTTTCACACATTGTCACATTCTTTCTGAAAGGATGATACCTACTCCCTGGCATGCCCGCTCGATCTCGTCTACACCAGACCAGTATGCGGTATACATGCCATGTGTAGTGACATCCTTCCCCTTCCTTTTCGTCTCATTTACACATTCCTTCCCCTTCCTTTTCGTCTCATTTACACATAACATATCTATTCCTCTATCATACATCATATCGCATACTTCATCCATTTTATCATTCATTGCCCCACATACATTGAACGTAGCCAGACGGGCCTCTGCAATCCACTTTTCGCCTCTCCGGGAGACAGAACGTGACGGGTGGCGAACCTCGTCGCCGGTTTTCCTCCCGGAGATTCTTCGCACCCCTGCCCCATTAAAGGGGCGCCGGGAACTCGGGGCCATTTCTTTTATATGGTTCCTCATGGTGCGGATAAAGGGTAGTATATTTTACGCCTCTACCACGGCGTGGAGCCAAGTCTGTGTTATCGGATTGTCGCTCATTTAACACCACCCGGGGGACACGTGTAGGGTGGGCCTAGGAATAGGTGGTTAAAGCCTACGGACGCGAGCGACTCATCCCCCAAAAATTTTTCCAATTTAATTTTCAAATAAGGGAAAAAGGGAAACTCTATTAAAAGATTTTGCGTGTAATTTATCTGTATAGGTTAAATAACAAGTGGTCGTTTATGGTATATTTATACTATGCCTAATATGAGAGTTAGTACACTCGTATCTACTAATTTATTAAAAAATTACGTCCCTATTGTAGTTGTATTAAGTGTAACGTTATTTCACAAATCATATGACGTCTTTAATGTAGTGATTTCGTTCTCAATGTTAGCAATTATCGACATCGATATTACTCGGTTTTGTTTATTTATTTATTCTTTATAACTTTATCAAATGTCTTTAAATATAAGAAAATAGGATTAGACTTATTATTATTCGACTGATCAAGTAAATTGTTTTCCAAATATTAGTAATAATTATTATATTACATTGCATATTCGTGTCGCAAACTTTAAAAGCCAATAGTTAGTAAGGTATGAATATTAAATCTTGACAGCCACATTTTTAATCCTAATTTTATACACTTATTTATCAGTTATACAGCGGAAATAAAACCAGTAAAACCACCAGAAAGTTCTGTTTGGATGAAAATATTTCGAAATCATGAAGTGAAGGCCGTATCTTGATATAACGTCGTGTATCGACGGCGTAAGAAAATCCAATACCTCCTTCTTAGAAGCTCTAAGACCCCATACCATCCCGTGGGTATCGTAAAAGGCGACAGAGTTAAATAAACTAGGATATAGGCAGTAGTAGTAATAGTTGCGGTTGTCAACATCCTTGCTAAGAGAGTAAATATCAAACTATAGAGGGAACCCTATGAGGAAATCTATGGAAAAGATATTCATATTATTTATTATTACCATATTCAGCAGTGGGCTTTTGATAGATTGTAATTAATGAATGAATGATGAATATTATCTTGATGGAGTAAAAAGGTAATCGATTTATTGGTAGTTGTGATGGAGTGAGAAAAAATGAGGCAGACCGCTGTCGTACCGCGGTTTTTATACTATCGTGGCGGAGCCCTATGTGTATGTTCTGTGAAGTAAACCCGGTGTCGATTAGAAAAACACAAATAATTAAAATATTGTAAAGAGGTACTTGCTTACATCTTTACAGTTATTATTCCTGTAAAACCCATAATAAGTGTAAGGATAATTTGGCAGAAATATACCGGCTGAATTTAAGTAGATTTAATAGTGACCTTTTCACGATATATTTTTAATTAGCACGATATATTTTTAATGCAGACATTATTCGACTATGCTTTCATTGTTAGATGTCAGATGGTGCTTCTAATCATTCATTGATATAAATAAGTATTACGAACCGGATTACTAATAATTTTCAATTTTATTAAATCACAGACTAAATGAATTTATCGACGTTTTTTTCCGCTAATGGCACATCAATAGAATTGTTTGTGGAATGGAAAAACGGTAACAACCTTGTAAAAGAAACAAAGTGAGCTATATTATATAGCTTTCTTATTTTGTACTACCTAAAACGTTATATGCATAATAAGTTCAAATAAGATTTTGTTCATATTTTAGGATTCCCTAGTTTTGTTTTGAGATCTCGTTATAAGTATTAATTATACCCTGAGAGCGTCTACTACCCTGTTGTTGATATTAATTAGACATAGCTATAAATACATTCTAGATAATGCCTTAGATTATTAGGTATATATATATTTAAAATATTTCAGTGATTCAATGGAGGAAGAGGTTGAAACTCGTCGCCACAGTCGCGCATCTTGGAGCGAGCCTGGCGATGCGCCGCCACTTCCGCCCAGAGTTTCAGGTACTAAGGCGTTATTATTTTTCTTTCAAATTGAATAATCACTTAACTTTATTAATATATTCTACTGTTTAATAAATGATTTTTTACTTTTAACCTCTCAACCCTCTAGCGGTCTCATGAGACCGCGGCCATATTCCGTCAAATAACAATAACAGCACTAAAACCCGTAAAAACTTACATATAAAGACTACTTATATTATATTATATATACTTTAATTATACTATATTGAAAGTAGTTTGGCATTATATAATCAATATGAAATACTCTATCCTCTAGTGTAATAAAAAACTGTTATCCTATGAATATTTATTTATAACCTACGTTCATTTCGTATGCCATTTTCGCGTGAATGTTATTCTGTTTTGGATTTTTCTAGTGTTTTAGTATAGTGTTTTATTATAAAATTGTAATGAAAGTTTTTGTGTGAATATAATTTATCATTTTACGCAAATAATTTCGAGTAATACATATTGAAATAATTGTGGTTTTCACGCCGCCGACATTCGCTTGGTATGTTTTTTTTTGTTATCAAAATTGTACAATAAAATCTTTTTGTCATGAAGTAAAACTTGACTTTTGTTTAGACCACAAGATAAAACGTTTTGTATAGATTTTATATTGCTAAACTTCTTGATAGAAAAGTAGTCTCTAAATATAAGTTTCAATGGTTTTAAGTGCTGTGGGTGGGTGCGATCGCATGCAACCGCTCGGGATTTGCCGGACTGCATGGGCTTTTTATGGCGCTTGAAGGGTTAAAGAAATTTTATGTTTACTGAATTCTTATCATAAATTTTGTCCCTTTTACGTTTTCTTTGCTCTTTCCCACTCATTCGTCATTCCGTTCGGGGACGCATTAGAATTTGTTATTCCTTCACTATTATTTGATCGAGTTCACCATCAAATCTTACCAAAGAAATACGCGAAGCAGGCAAAGGTCTTATACCATACTGCTTAGCCTGATTTGTATTTTGTTCACAAAACTTCACAATAAGTTAATGCGTCAAGTCTGCGTCACATTATGAAATTCTTGAGAGATTTTGACGAAAGACCCAGCGAACAGTTCTGAAGATTTATCATATTAAAATAATATTATATGCTGTAAGCAGGAGTGCTACGGGCCTGGGCTAACGCATCAAAGTCCCGGAATGTAAAAATCAGCGCCCTAAAAAGAAGTATAATTCCATATGAAGGACCTGGCTTCAAAAGTGTCATTGTCAAGGCAAAGTCAGAGCACATAGGCAGAATTGGCGAGAAACTAGTTCACCTTGCTTCTGGAACCCGTGCGTTCTGTTCTCTCGCCAAGGCTGTCCAAGGTAATTTCTTTTCATCTCTGCACAGGGAGGACGTCTCACCAAGCCCATGGTGCCATGCCGCAAAGGAGAAAGCCGATCTGCTAGGCTCTTTCTTTGCGTCCAATTTGACTCTCATTGACGTGGGGAGCACACCGCCGACCATCCTGCGGTGTGAGTGCTCCATGCCGGGTGAGAGGTTCACACAACGCTCGGTTCGCAAAACACTCCTCTCCCTGTACATCCACAAGTCGAGTGGGCCTGATGGGATACTCCCAATTGTGCTGATGAGTGCTCCAGAGTTGGCACCGGTTCTAACGCGTCTTTTCCGGTACTCCTACTCCTTAGGCGTAGTCCCAAAATTATGGAAGACTTTTCGTTTACTCGATTCGTAGAAAAGACGACCGGTCAGATCCGTCTAACTTTTTTTTATAGGATAGGATGACAAACGAGCACAGAGTCCACCTGATGGTAAGTGGTTGCTGTGCCCCATAGACACCTACATGTATCCTCGATTACGAATCAAAATGCAGATGCGTTGTCACCCGTGAAAACTAGGATGGATTGCCTCGTTTCCAGTAAAAACGGTATCTGGTTCTCTACACTCACCATACGAAACGCAGCAGCATTAAGCTACTATTTTACGCTGGTATTCTGTAAGAGCGTGGTCTTTCTCCGGTCGAGCTGACCCATTCGTGCTATAACTATACTACTAATATAACTGCAGCATGGCTCTATCACGTAGAAGCCTATCGCCATCACCTCCTTGTTCTCTAAAATAACGGAATCCATTATAAACTGCCAGCTCATGCGGTACCTGGAGGATCACCAGCTGATTAGTGACCGCCAATACGGTTTTCGTCGGGGTCGATCAGCTGGTGATCTTCTGGTTTACTTTACTCGCAAATGGACGGAGACAGTAGAGTCTAAGGGCAACATTGCAAAGGCTTCGGATCGGGTTTGGTACAAAACGCTTCTTTTGAAGCTCCTTCCCGAGAAATTGTGCAATTGGATCACTAGCTTTCTTGCAGATCGGAGCATCAAGGTCGTTGTAGACGGTGCATGCTTCGGTAACAAGCCTATTAATGCTGGCGTTTTAAAAGGCTGCATGCTATCACCAACGCTGTTTCTTTTGATATGTTGAATGTTACCGGTTTGCAACAAACCGGTAACATTCATTGTCATGCGGATGACAGCACTGGAGATGCTCTATACACCGCCCGTGCCAATATTTCCCGGGAAAACGTCGTCGAGTACCGGGACAAACTTGTGTCTGAAACTGTTTCTTTTTCGGAGAACTAAAATCTGTTGATTTATCTCTCGATGTGCTTGGTTGTGGCTCCATCATTAACCACTTAATAAAAAACAATCATCTACAAAACAAAATAACATTAATTAAATAAACAACAATTGCTAAAATGTTCTCCCGAATGTTGGCGAACCCGTCTTGACCCTGACATGTTTTTTGCCGGGTAAACGAGGCATTATAACAAATACTCAAGATGGAAAGAGATAGATAATAGATTGTTAACTCCACAGTGGTTTTTAAGGTAAATAACTTTTCGTATCCTTACTAGTTAGCCGTACTATAGATGATAATTTTTTAATTTTTTAAAATCAACATGAATAATCTTAGTTGCATAATGAGTGGGCTCAATAAATATCGATAAATATTGGAGCTAAAAAGCTCGTCACTTCACTATTGTGATGAAAGGACGGTGTACATTTAGAATTTAATTTTTCTAATTTAATTATCTACATCCATAGGCGTGCTTATGTCGAAAGTAAGAAAAATGGTTATACATAATTTAGTATTGTATCGAATTGTGACGCTTGCGCAGGCGACAAGCGGTCATGGGGCGAAGCGCCAGCGGTGCCACGGCGCGCGGCACGCAGCGAGGCGGGCGACGAGCGCGACTCCGGCGTCAGCGTGGACGCGCACGCCTACACCAACGCCGACGAGCACCGCGCGCACCACAGCGGTACGTGCACTGTAGCCCGCACACTTGTGTACCTCCGTATCTGAGCGGGATCTCTTACCGCTTTCGCAGCGAGGCGGGCGACGAGCGTGACTCCGGCGTCAGCGTGGACGCGCACGCCTACAGCAACGCGGACGAGCACCGGCGCACCACAGCGGTACGTGCACTGCAGCCCGCCTCACTTGCGTACCTCCATATCTGAGCGGGATCTCTTACCGCTTTCACAGCGAGGCGGGCGACGAGCGTGACTCCGGCGTCAGCGTGGACGCGCACGCCTACACGAACGCGGACGAGCACCGCGCGCACCACAGCGGTACGTGCACTGCAGCCCGCCTCACTTGCGTACCTCCATATCTGAGCGGGATCTCTTACCGCTCTCGCAGCGAGGCGGGCGACGAACGCGACTCCGGCGTCAGCGTGGACGCGCACGCCTACACCAACGCGGACGAGCACCGCGCGCACCACAGCGGTACGTGCACTGTAGCCCGCACACTTGCGTACCTCCATATCTGAGCGGGATCTCTTACCGCTTTCGCAGCGAGGCGGGTGACGAGCGCGACTCCGGCGTCAGTATGGACGCGCACGCCTACACCAACGCGGACGAGCACCGCGCGCACCACAGCGGTACGTGCACTGTAGCCCGCACACTTGCGTACCTCCATATCTGAGCGGGATCTCTTACCGCTTTCACAGCGAGGCGGGTGACGAGCGCGACTCCGGCGTCAGCGTGGACGCGCACGCCTACACCAACGCGGACGAGCACCGCGCGCACCACAGCGGTACGTGCACTGCAGCCCGCCTCACTTGCGTACCTCCATATCTGAGCGGGATCTCTTACCGCTTTCGCAGCGAGGCGGGCGACGAGCGTGACTCCGGCGTCAGCGTGGACGCGCACGCCTACACGAACGCGGACGAGCACCGCGCGCACCACAGCGGTACGTGCACTGCAGCCCGCCTCACTTGCGTACCTCCATATCTGAGCGGGATCTCTTACCGCTCTCGCAGCGAGGCGGGCGACGAACGCGACTCCGGCGTCAGCGTGGACGCGCACGCCTACACCAACGCGGACGAGCACCGCGCGCACCACAGCGGTACGTGCACTGTAGCCCGCACACTTGCGTACCTCCATATCTGAGCGGGATCTCTTACCGCTTTCGCAGCGAGGCGGGTGACGAGCGCGACTCCGGCGTCAGCGTGGACGCGCACGCCTACACCAACGCGGACGAGCACCGCGCGCACCACAGCGGTACGTGCACTGCAGCCCGCACACTTGTGTACCTCCATATCTGCGCAGGATCTCTTACCGCTTTCACAGCGAGGCGGGTGACGAGCGCGACTCCGGCGTCAGCGTGGACGCGCACGCCTACACCAACGCGGACGAGCACCGCGCGCACCACAGCGGTACGTGCACTGCAGCCCGCCTCACTTGCGTACCTCCATATCTGAGCGGGATCTCTTACCGCTCTCGCAGCGAGGCGGGCGACGAACGCGACTCCGGCGTCAGCGTGGATGCGCACGCCTACACCAACGCGGACGAGCACCGCGCGCACCACAGCGGTACGTGCACTGCAGCCAGCAGCCCGCAGCCCGTAGCACGCGTCACTTGCTTACCTACCTCCACACCCGTGCTGGACCTTTTGGGCGTTGGTCACGCTAGAGCCAATGCGGGGAGCGGAGGCGACCTGCGGTGGCAGGAGGCGTGAAGACGCTGCGCCTTGCCACTGTTTTTTGCCATGTTGAGGCCACTGCATGAAATGTGGTTTCTTCCTGCTATTTTTGCGCGGGTTAAAAAATGAAGTTCTTTAAATTAGCACTTTCATGTCTAGAGCGTAGACGCATCAAAGCAGTCAAAACGCGTCGCGCTAGAGTGGCACACGGTTTACCACTATTGCCATCAACAAATTGACTAACACAAGCTGGGGTCCGCACACTCTCGCTTGAACGGTGGTTCGATGTCTCATCTGTAAACTGATTTGTGTGTAGAAACAACGAGCAAACTTTTGTTAACATCAAAGAAAATTAGGCTTAAAGATATTTAACCCTTTAATCCCTATAAAAATCTTATGCAATCGCATGCGTCCGTCAAATCCCAAGCGGTCGTATGCGACCGCACCCGTCCACTGCATTTTATGGTTAAAGATATTTTATTCTCAAAAGAAATATACATTTCACTTAATGAGAGGTTACAATATTCAAGTTATAAATGGGTTATGAGCATACAGATAGCAAATATACATATATTAACATTAAAAAGGGAGGAAAGAGTTTAGTGACATACAACTTCTTACTAGTTTAGGCATACAACTTAATACTTCCAATATTATCGTTTTGTGTATTGATGTACAAGTTAGCAATCTTTTAGTAGATAGTAATAGATAAGGTGGGTAGTAAGTAAGGTATTTCTTATCGTTACCGATAACGCTGATTAGCGGTCGGTATATGGACAGAGTCGGATTTAGAACTTATTCATTATATTTTGTTTTAGTTTGCTTTTAAAGATTTTAAAACTATTTAATATTTTTATTTCTTGTGGTAGTTTATTATATATTTTAACTCCATCAAAAATTATGCTCTGCTTACCATAGTTTGTTCGTACCATAGGTATGTAAATATTATTAGTGTTGCAAAGTACTTTCATTCCTTTGCCTTTATTTGTTATAAATTTTAATTGTGTCTGTATTTTATTATCTAAAATTTTCTTTACTAGAATACAAGTATTATAGCAATATGTTTGATAAATATTCATAATTTTGGTTTCACTGTACAGTTTGTCTGTAGGTGTAAAGAAGTTATAATTGAATAATAGTTTTAATATTTTATTTTGGTTTATTTGTAGGTCCTGTAATGTTGTTTTGTAGGTGCACCCCCAAATTTCAACTAGATAATCCAGATGTGGTTTGACTAAAGCATTATAAATTGTTCGGCGAACACGGTAAGGAAGGCATCGAATACAAACATAAAGTGAACCTAGTAGAGAAGATAGTTTCGATCTTATTTTGCCTATATGACCCTTCCATGACAAGGTTTTATCTAGTAATAAGCCTAAATATTTCTCTTCGGTTGACTCGTGTATTGTAGAGTTGTCAATGGTGAGAGGGGAATAACTGCAAATGTTTTTGTTTTTGGGTTTAAATATCATGTACGATGTTTTTGATGTATTTATTGTAAGCAAATTGGATTGGAACCATTTTTGTACTATATTTAGATCTACTTGGGCTCGTGCAATAACTTCTTCTATGGAACGTCCAAAGTAGAAAATATAGGTATCATCTGCATATAAAGAAATTTAGCCATTTAATTTAAGATCAGTTATGTTATTTATATAAATCAGGAAAAGAAGTGGGTCCAATATAGAGCCTTGGGGAATACCGTACGTAATGGGTTGTGGGGAACTTTGATAGTGACCAATCTTTACAATTTGATATCTTTTATTTAGATAACTTTCAAAAATTTTTAAGGCATGGCCGTTAATACCTATATGAGAAAGTTTCTTTAATAGTAGTGAGTGACTTATTGAATCAAACGCTTTTTTTAGGTCAATAAAAATTCCAAGCTCTAAGTTTTTTGCGTCAATGTTTTTTTTTTATTTTGGTTAATAAATCTACCGTTGCGGCTAAGGTATTTGACCTAGGCTGGAAACCATACTGACAGTTTGAAATAAAGTTAATCGATGTTAGGTATATATTTAAGCGGTTATATATTACTTTTTCAAAAATTTTGGAAACTACTGGTAAGACAGAGATAGGACGGTAGTTACTAGGGTCACTTTTCGTACCTGATTTGTTTATAGGTGTGACTTTAGCTATTTTCAGTTTATCTGGAAATATTCCGCTTTCGAGACAATCATTTATACAAGAAGTAAGCCTTTTTTTACAATATCTTTTTAAACCATTCATTTTAAACCATTAAACCTTATATTTAGTGACTACTTTTGTACGAAGAAGTTTGGCATTATAAAATCTATACAAAATTCTTTATCCTGTGGTCTAAACAAAAGTCAGGTTTTATTTCATTACAAAAAGACAATTGTATTTTGATAACAAAAACCAGGTATATACCAAGCGGATATCGGCAGCGTGAAAATCACTATTATATTTCTGTATATTACTCGAAATTATTTACTTAAAAGGATAAATTATATTCACACAAAAACTTTTATAAAATTTTTATAATAAAACACTATTGTAAAACACTAGAAAAATCCAATCAACATATTTTATTACTGAAACAAGGGTAGGCTGTTCCGTTGAATCAAGTCCTCTCCAATAGATTACCTCATTGGTGCGACATTTTCTATAGTTGCCACGCTTGGCAAGCGGGTTGGCAACTGCAGTTTTTTTTATTTTTAGTCGTTATTAGGAGGACGTTGCTGCCCATCTCCAGATCTTTTTCCCTCTGTCGTCTCTTACGACACCCACGGGATGATATAGGGTAATGGTTATTCGTACACCGCCACTAAACGGCCCGGTAGGTTGTTCACAGAAATGTATTTGGCAAATTAAAGAGCAAGCCGGGTTCGATTTCCGCCGGCACCAACGAAATTTTTAATTGCAATTTTAAGTGCTGATTTACCACGTGCTCGGCGGTGAAGGAAAACATCGTGAGGAGACCTGCATGTCTGAGAAATAAGAAAAAAATAATATTTCGAAGACACGTGAAGTTCGCCAACACGCATTTAGGCAGCGCGGCGGACACTTCCTTGCCCTAAAACCCTATCAAAAATGAGAGGAGGCCTGTGCCCAGCAGTGGGCTGTAACTTTAAATTAAAGTTAAAAGTAGGGGAATTACTGCTTGATAACAGAACTAGAAATAACGTATTTGTACAAAATTTGGTAAATAGATGTAAAAATTATGTCATCTTATTCAGATCTCGACTTGACCGTGGAATCGCTACGATATGAGGAAATAATCTCCATGATGTCTGAACCTCTGCGCGTCGATGAGGAGGAGCTGCCGCCACCTATCCCGCCCAAAGGTCTCGGACACCTCAGCAGCTTCGACTCTGGACACCACGAGAACGGAGAGTCCCAATGCTAACGGATCAATAAGTTCTGTATGTTATTTTATAAAGGAGACGATCGTATAATTTTTTATTATGGTACTGTAGAATTAATCAATAATGAAATTTTTCGTTAGGGTTTAAGCTTTACCAATTTTAATAATATTTACATTGACGAGATGAATATATATTTGATATGTAAAAAGCATATGGTATTGCTTACAACCTTGGGAAGTCATGGACATTTTTAATTGTACTATTCTGTTTAATGCAGTATATTTTTTTTTATTTTAAGTTCCATTGCAATATGCCAACTTGAGATTTTTGTTTGTATTTGTTACAAATCACTCACACAAATAAACTCGCTAAATTACTTAGTGTAATACATAATATAATGTATGATTTGAATTCGTAAAATAATCTTCAATTGTAAGTTACTTTTGCTATTAGCAAAAATTATCTCATCTTGCATGCATATCAATTATATTTTTAATTTTTGTTTTACATTTTAAATAACCTATTATTTTATATTCTCATTTGTATATTATGCCATATTATTGTATTAATTTCGTGGACTATAATCCGAAATGAATTTTATTCAGATTTTTATAGATTTAATGTATGATTTGGATTGATATATGTGCTTGCTTGCTTCACATATTTTATAATATATTCGCTATAAATCCCCTTTTAAAATGTTTTATTTATATTAATCAATATAAAAAGGATTTGTAGTTAATAAATGAAAATATAAGCGAATCAAATGCATATACGTGTCAATCCAAATTACAAAATAAATGAGGATGAAATTTCACCAAGAGTGTCAAGTATATTTTATTATTTTCTCTCACACAGTCTAAATAGGTGAAATTTTTGAATCGATATATTCATATCATATATTCCGTAGGTGTGTCATACTTACATAATTTTTTTGTACTTTTAATCTTTAAATTATCACATTACCAAATATATTTTAGTCGTAGTTAGTATAGTATCTATCTCATGTAAAAACAATTAATTTAAAACTAAAAATGAGTTATAACAACAAATACACTAAGAAACAAGTCGATTTTATCAGTATTCTATTGGACTTTTGGGATTTGCAAGAATTGTGATAGTAATGGACCTTTTTTATGATCATTCCTTTTAAAAAGTATTAATAAAATGAAATAAAACTGATCTAAAGATTTTTAAATCATAATGTAACGACTCTTTTTACACAAATATAATACCCTGTCGATATTTCTTTATAGTTTCTAATTAATTTTATTTGAAATAATTTTTTAATTAAAATCTGATCTTATTTTTATAGCTATTTTAATGTATTTTTTTTATTTTTATTATAACACAACATGTTCCACTATTATCTCTTTGCTCAATTATGTTTTTATAACATTTTATTATCATATTATTCTATTGACCAAGCACTTGTGTGGGTGCAATTCTAAACTAAAGGCACATCTAAGACTGGGTTCTTGTTTTTCACATCCACTGTACGCAGTATTATTTTAACTCAAGCCCATTAATTACGCTATGTCAAAACCGTGCTTGTGATAAAGATGAAATTGATCTCCAAATAATGCCCGAATAAAAATATTTATTTTCATGAGCAAGTAAGAAAATCATATTTTTGTCAGGTATGTATGTGTATCAATTTTAAAGTTTTATGTCATATAATCCTATTGGTATGTTTAATGTATACAACACAGTAATAAACATTTATAATATTTATAAGCTAACGTAAAGTAAGGTGTGGATTTACTTTATATAATCTTCCAATAACAGTGCAATTTTAGCTTAGTTCAATCTACGTTTAGGATTTTTAAAGTTTTCTACGTGACTTTACATTACTGTTTTACAAATAAACAGTTTGGTTTATGTGCTATATCTAATGAATAGTATAATCTAAACAAATAATCGATGCATTTGTCAAACGAGCAGTTATCGCAGTTATTACTTGAGATCTCTGATAATGAAATTATTAATTTTATTGATGTGTTATACACAGTTCTTTTATATTAATGTTGAAATATATGCGCTCCAATTTAAAAAAGTTACACAGGACGTGCGAACACGCTGTCTGTAAATTTGAATAAATACAAAACATTGTTAATTGCTGTATCATTAATCATTATGTTAATATTACCTGTGTTAAATGAAGAAAACATAATAAATCAGAAACACTAAGAATTCAAACAATTTTAATACCTGTTAAGAGGATATCTGGGAGGATTTTAGTCTTTAAAACATTTATTCTTCTGTTTTATCCCTGCATAATGACGTTGAGCAAATGTTTATTAAAAACTGGGATCATCTTATATATACACTGTCCCGTTGTATCTCTGTCATAAGCACGACATTAGAAATGTCGAACATTAGAAATTAAAGAAAATTGTACATGTCGCGATCATTCTTCTATTGTTCTAGCTTTGGAGAAAGGAACGGTAAACGAATACACTTGATGATTTTGTAAATTTTTCATATGTATAATCAGTGCGGGCTGCAGTTGTCTCGCTCGCTCATTCAGGCATAGCGCGACAGCAATAGATCGTTATTCGTTACATACCTATTTTCATATGTGTAATCAGTCCAGGCTGCAGTTGTCTCGCTCGCTCATTCAGGAATAGCGCGACAGCAATAGATCGTTATTCGTTACATACCTATTTTCATATGTGTAATCAGTCCGGGCTGCAGTTGTCTCGCTCGCTCATTCAGGCATAGCGCGACAGCAATAGATCGTTATTCGTTACATACCTATTTTCATATGTGTAATCAGTCCGGGCTGCAGTTGTCTCGCTCGCTCATTCAGGCATAGCGCGACAGCAATAGATCGTTATTCGTTACATACCTATTTTCATATGTGTAATCAGTCCGGGCTGCAGTTGTCTCGCTCGCTCATTCAGGCATAGCGCGACAGCAATAGATCGTTATTCGTTACATACCTATTTTCATATGTGTAATCAGTCCGGGCTGCAGTTGTCTCGTTCGCTCATTCAGGCATAGCGCGACAGCAATAGATCGTTATTCGTTACATACCTATTTTCATATGTGTAATCAGTCCGGGCTGCAGTTGTCTCGCTCGCTCATTCAGGCATAGCGCGACAGCAATAGATCGTTATTCGTTACATACCTATTTTCATATGTGTAATCAGTCCGGGCTGCAGTTGTCTCGCTCGCTCATTCAGGCATAGCGCGACAGCAATAGATCGTTATTCGTTACATACCTATTTTCATATGTGTAATCAGTCCGGGCTGCAGTTGTCTCGCTCGCTCATTCAGGCATAGCGCGACAGCAATAGATCGTTATTCGTTACATACCTATTTTCATATGTGTAATCAGTCCGGGCTGCAGTTGTCTCGCTCGCTCATTCAGGCATAGCGCGACAGCAATAGATCGTTATTCGTTACATACCTATTTTCATATGTGTAATCAGTCCGGGCTGCAGTTGTCTCGCTCGCTCATTCAGGCATAGCGCGACAGCAATAGATCGTTATTCGTTACATACCTATTTTCATATGTGTAATCAGTCCGGGCTGCAGTTATCTCGCTCGCTCATTCAGGCATAGCGCGACAGCAATAGATCGTTATTCGTTACATACCTATTTTCATATGTGTAATCAGTCCGGGCTGCAGTTGTCTCGCTCGCTCATTCAGGCATAGCGCGACAGCAATAGATCGTTATTCGTTACATACCTATTTTCATATGTGTAATCAGTCCGGGCTGCAGTTGTCTCGCTCGCTCATTCAGGCATAGCGCGACAGCAATAGATCGTTATTCGTTACATACCTATTTTCATTGTGTAATCAGTCCGGGCTGCAGTTGTCTCGCTCGCTCATTCAGGCATAGTGCGACAGCAATAGACCGTTATTCGTTACATACTTATTTTTCAAATTTCTTGCACCCCGGATATCCTTTTAAGAGACGAATGTCAACATTTTTAATTAAACTGTATAACTGTATTAATTATTTCAAGTCTCTTCATTTCATCAGTTATAAATTATTGACGCGTATTTTGTTAGTATCAGTTGGCCAATACTAAAATAAGGTTTTATTCCGACAATTATCTTTTATTAAAGTCTTTCCAATAATAACCAAGTGATATTTTTCATACTATACAGTAGCTTTTGTAACTGCATATATAGCTCTTAAGCTCTAGATATTAAGTCCACATTTTCAACGAACAATTCATAAAGATTTTACTTGTATTTATAAGTGATGTGTTTACTCGTATTACTCTATTTGTGACTAATGATTATTGGGCCTGGTTACATTTGTATTTACTATTGTACGTTATAGTTACGTTTTGATGTAGTTATCAAGACACTGTTTTGTAAATTTTAAACCATTTTTAATATTTTTATAACATTATATTTTGTTCACTTCTTTAAAGTTTTTATATATGACTATATAATTTAACTTTTCTTTTGTATTTAGTTAACATTAAGCGCGGCAAATAGAAAAGAGATGGATGGTATATTAGTAATTTTAGAAAACAGTTTGAATGAGACTATCTCCACTAAGCTAGATTTGTATTTTAAGCGATAATCGTTGTATCGGTTTATACCTTTACTTATATAAAAATCTAAAATATTATTAATGGTTGCTAAAATAGTGTCTTGTTCACTACTTACTGAGTTACCTAGGTTTGAATGATTTTAACTGATATTACTCGGTAGTGTCGGAGGTTTCGTCTGGTGTGTTTGTAACGCAAATACTAGTCGCGTACGGCAAATGATGAAGATGTTCACAACAAGTTGTAATTTTATTTAAATACATTTAAAAACAACGCAGTTCTTTAATGAGAGCGTCCACGACTTTTTTTGCCACCACAGCGGCGTCTCTCTGGATTAAGGTGTAATATTTGACAGATTTCATAGCGGGGTAACAATGTTTAGATCAATGTTTTTTTCCAAAATATATTTGTTATATTTTATAATTATTAAATTAAAAATGGATAAATCAAATTGCAAATATTTCTAGAAGTAGAAGAAGTAAATAATATGTCTATATCTATGTAAGAATACAGCACTATGGCA